CACGTCTCTCTCAATAATTACTTGGGAGTATATAGTACATTTTCATTCAATCAAGACGCATAGGGTATCTGAATGGATTAAAAAAAACCAGACCCATCTATATGCTGCATACAGAAGTCTCATTTTTAAGACTTATTTTATTTATTAGAGCATTCGCAGAATGAGGGGCTGAGGGAGAGGGACAAGCAGACTCCACGCTGAGTGGGGAGCCCGACACAGGGCTCAATCCCAGGATCCTAAGATCATGACCTGAGCCGAAGTTAGATGCTGAACTGACTGAGCCACTCAGGCAGCCCTGTAAGAGACTAACTTTAAACCTAAAGAAACCTGCAGATTGAACGAGAGGGAATGAAAATGGATGTCAAAAGAAAGCCAGAGTAACAATACTTATATTGGACAAAAGAGACATTTTTCTTCTTGTATTGTCTTTATCCTGCTTTGGTACCAGGATACTGCTGCCCTCATAGAATGATTTGATTGTGTTCCCTCTATTCTGCTATTTCTAAGATTTGTCATTATTACTTTTATTAATTATTATTATTTTGAGTATTCAAATTGACCAATGAAGGCATGTAGTCTTGGGCTTTTTTATACTGGGAGGATCTTTTTTTTTTTTTTTTAAGATTTTATTTATTTATTTGAGAGAGAGAATGAGATAGAGAGAGAGCATGAGACAGGGGAGGGTCAGAGGGAGAAGCAGACTCCCCGCCGAGCAGGGAGCCCGATGCGGGACTCGATCCTGAGACTCCAGGATCATGACCTGAGCCGAAGGCAGTCGCCTAACCAACTGAGCCACCCAGGCACCCGATATACTGGGAGGATCTTTATTCTAAATTCAACTTTTATTTTTATAATTGGTCTAAGAAGATTTGCTATTTCTTAGGTTCAAGGTTTATATTTTCAAACTTGGTAACTTCTGCATTTGTAGGAATTATCTTTTTTTTCCCTTAATTTATCTAAATTGTTAGTATATAATTGTTTATAGTAATCTGTTATCACAGTATAAATTTCTGTGGTTATCTGTTGTATCATTTTCTTTTCCATATCTCATTTTGGTTTTTGAGTCTTCTCTCCCTTTTTTCTTAGGTAGTGTCATTAAAGCATGGCCAGTTTTGTTTGTTGTTTTGTAAAACTGGGCATTGCTTTCAGTGTTATTGTTTATTCTGATTTATATTTTATTTATTTCTGATTTCTCTTTGGTATTCTCTCCTACTGATTTTCAGCTAAGTTTCTTCTTTTTCTATTTCCCCGTGGTGTAATGTTAAGAAAGAAAAAGTTGAGAGGTACCTAGTTGGCTTAGTCAGTGAAGCGTCTGCCTTTGGCTCAGGTCACGATCTGGAAGGCAGACGCTTCACTGACTGAGCCACCCATGCGTCCCTATCATGCCATTTTAAAAGCATTTATTTATTTACTTTAGAGAGAGAAAGAGGAGTTCCCAAACGGGGGGTGGAGGGGGCAGTGGGAGAGAGAGAGAATCTCGGACTCTCCACTGAGCATGGAGCCCAACGTGGGCTCCATCCCACGACCCCGAGATCATGACCTGAGCTGAAATCAAGAGTCAGATGCTTACCCAACCGAACCACCCCGGTGCTCCTAATCGTGCCATTTTTGATGCTAATGTGCTGTCTCAAATTGATAGTATTCCTATATGTTGAAACAGCCTTGAATTCCAGGAAGAATTCCCACTTGATTATGTTGTAAAATGGTAATGTGTGCTTTCGATTCAGTTTGCTTTATTTTATTGTCAATTTTGCATGAATCTTCCTCACAGGTAGTAATTTGTAGTCTTATAGCATCTGCCCTTTGGCTTTGATAACATGTTAATGCTGATGCACAGAGAGTGTTACCATTTCCCTTGTCTTTACTCCTTGGAAATGTTTGAGGAGATTTGAAGTAGTATATATATATATATATATATATATATATATATATATATATATATATATATATATATATATATATATATATATATATATATACATATATATATATGTAGGAATAGACATATATATATTCCTACATATATATATGTAGGAATAATCCAGTGAACTCCTCTGGCACAGAACTTTTCTTTGTTGGGCGTTATTTTAAATTAGTTTTTCTTTCTTTTTTTAAAATTTTATTTATTTGACAGCGGGAGAGGGAACACAAGCAGGGGCCAGAGAGTGTAGTAAAACATGGCAAAGGTCATTTAAAATAAAGGGCTCGGGGCGCCTGGGTGGCTCAGTCGGTTGGGCGACTGCCTTCGGCTCAGGTCGTGATCCTGGAGTCCCGGGATCGAGTCCCGCATCGGGCTCCCTGCTCAGCGGGGGGTCTGCTTCTCCCTCTGACCCTCTTCCCTCTCGTGCTCTCTTGTCTCTCATTCTCTCTCTCAAATAAAATCGAAAAAAAATAAATAAAGGGCTCACTTTGTGCAGTGTTTTTAATTATGTGGTGTTTGGCAGAATGTCAAAAAAGATTTCCCCCATTTTGGTTTTGGAAGGACAGGAATAGTATGATTATGTAACACGTGTAGTACTTAACCTCTTTCAAAACCAGCACTTTTTTTCCATAAATGGTGGTGTTTGTCCACATACTTCAATTGTAGCTTGCTCAAGGTTTATGAACATTGATATCTTACAAATCCCCTAAACAAGTAGTTGATTTTCAAAATCCTTTTTCTGTGTTTTGAGGGTTGGGGAAGAAAAAAACACTGAATTTGAGAAAACCTGCTGCTTTCAGATTTTGATGTGTATGGGAAAATACGGTTGCAGTGAAAATCTTGGCAATTTGCTGTAACAAGTAGCCAATAATTTATCAAAACTAATTTGTACAGGCTAATCTTTTCCACAGCATTCAGTTGTCCAACCTCTTGGTATTATACATTGCATATTTTTTTCACATGTTATTTAATTTACATTGTTTGCTATTTAAAATTTTTTTTTAATTTGACAGAGTTAGCACAAGCAGGGGGAGCGGCAGGCAGAGGGAGAGGCAGAGGCAGAGGCAGACTCCCTGCAGAGCAGGGCGCCCAACACAGGGCTCCATCCCAGGACCCTGTGATCATGACCTGAGCTAAAGGCAGATGCTTAACTGACTGAGCCACCCAGGTGCCCTGCTATTTAAAATCCCTAAATAAATTACTTGTACTTTCTTTCTTTCTTTTTAAAGATTTTATTTATTTATTTGACAGAGAGAGACACAGTGAGAGAGGGAACACAAGCAGGGGGAGTGGGAGAGGGAGAAGCAGGCTTCCCGCCGAGCAGGGAGATGGATGTGGGGCTCCATCCCAGGACCCTGGGACCATGACCTGAGCCAAAGGCAGACGCTTAACGACTGAGCCACCCAGCTGCCCCAAATTACTTGTACTTTCAAGCAGGTTACCATAATGCCCTTCAGTAAGATTTCTGATATTATTTCTGGGCAGTATTTCTTTATATACAGTTGCAAATGATAGGCTTTGTACGGGTCACTTTTGTCATAATTGTGATAGTGGATTTAGTTCAAGCTGGGTTTTTTCTGAAATGTACATCTTCCCATAAGAAACCTTTACATTCTAGTTGATACAAAGTTTTTAGCATAGCTTACATGTGACTAACAGTTGTATACATTATATATGCATTTATTAAATATAAAGCATTCATTCCCTTAATGTTGGAGAAAGGTAGCTAACACATGTACTTATGGTTTGTTTGTGTTACATTAAAGCTGTAGGTTTGTATATTCATGTAGTGTCTGTATTGACAAGACATTTCTTTTTATTGCTTTCTGCTCCTTGAGCTATATAATAATCTTTTTGTGCATTGGATTGTTGTGTTGTTTCATTCAAATTTGAATACATAGCAGTCACTTTTAACAAATTTTGTTTGATCTATAGTAATCTTTTATACTTTTTCAAATATATATAACCTGTTTTGCCTAAAAAAATAAAAGGGTCAATTTGACAAACGGATATAACTTTTATAATTATTCACACACGCAACATAAAAGCACTTATTAACACATTTAGCAACTATTAACCGAGAAGAACAGAGGAAGAGACATCAATATATTAGAAGGGGACTTCAATACTGTGCCTTCAATAATGGGTAGATTATCCAGACAGAAAATCAGTAAGGGGACCTCAGACTTCAATGATATGAAGCAGACAGACGTCCAACACTGCATCCAACAACATCTGAAAACACATTCTTCTCACATGCACATGGAGCATTCTCCAGTATAGAGTATATGCTGGGCCACAAAACAAGTCTTAATAAATTTATAATTGAAATCATACCAAGCATCTTTTCCAACCACTATGGCATGAAACTAGATGTCAGTTACAAGTTCAAAACTAGAAAATTCACAAATATGTGAAAAACATGCAACATTATTCATAATAGCCAAAATAATGGAAATCCCTTGTCCATTGTCAGATGAGTAGATAATGTGGTACGTATGTACAATGTGTGCTAGATATAATTAACAATACATTTGAAAGTTGCTAAGAGAATAGCTCTTAAAAATTCTTATCACATGAAAACTTGTAACTCTGAGGTGATAACTCTGTTTTGCAATATATACATAAATCATAATGTACCTTAAAATAATGTTATATGTTACTTATATCTCAGTGAGACTGATAAAAAGTGAAATAAGCAGATTAGTGGTTTCCTAGCCTCAGGGATAAGAGGATGGGGATGGTGATAGTTAAAGAGTATAAAGTCTCTTTCAGAGGTGATTCGATGTAAAATTGACTATGGTTTGCTTGCACCTATTGTGAATCAGTTAAAAACCTACCATTTGTACATTTTAAATGAGTAAATTATACAGCATGTAAATTCTATGCAAATAAAGCTGTTTAAAAAGAACCCTAAATAAGAAATGCCTGTATAAGAAGACCTAGTATTATATCAAGACTACATAAGTTGAACTATTAAACACACATACATGTGTAAGAGTTCAAAGAGAATTTAGGATTTAACTTTCTCCTGTGTTTTGAAGAGAAGCTAACAGACTGTTTGGTCTGCAATTGGAAGGGGCAGGTCCGTGCAGCCCACGTTCCCCGTGCTGTGGCAGGATTTGGTTTTCTGTGGGAGGGGAGGACATCTGAAAC